AAAGTATTTGTAGTGCCGGAAGATTGTATTGAAACTTTAGAAGAATTTAGTTTGCTTATCTTAAAATACGCTTTTAATTTAATGTAATTATTTTTTTTTTTTAATATTATTATTTTTTTTTTTTTCTAGCTTTTCTTGCTTGTTTTCATTAATTTTTTCTTTTTTCTTATACTGTTTATTATTATATATACTTATTATTGTTTTTATTATTGTTATTATAATAGTTATTATTGCTACTAGTATTATTACTATTACTAGCTGGATTGACCCGTAAAAATACGGGTCTTTGTAATTCTATTCCACACAAACCTTTTCCCTTATTTTCTTAATCTAGCTGTCCGTATCGGTAAATACAGGTCTTTTCTTCTACTTCTATATTTATTTATTCCACGCCAATCATTTCTTTACTTGTTCCTTATTTACTTCAATATTTTTTAGTAAACGGTGGAAAAAAATTCATCAAAAAAATTTGCTTAGAGAGCAAAATAAAACTTTAACATACGCACTTTTTTCGCATACGTATATAGCTTATTAAACCCCGTTTATTTATTTTTTTTTTTTTAAATTCTAAGCTAAACTACTTCCTACATTTAGACCAGCCATGGACCATGGTTTATGGTCGCGTCCTAGCCATTTTCAATAGTTACTATTTACTATATTTATTATTATTATTATATGCTTAGTTTTGAATAATAACGGTCTTTTATAGTTACCTTTGTATTAGACGGAAACGGTAATGCAATTCTTTAAAACGTTAGTCGCTTAAAGCGTCAAAAGTCATGCAAAAAAATAAATTATAAATTTTGTGGTTTAAAAGTTGAAAAACTAATAATAATATAACAAAAAGTTTGGTAATTTTTAAACGTTATTATTTAGCTCTTACTTATGGTATTTATTTTGTTTTCATTTTACATTTTTAAAAAAATGTTGAAGCGCCTAACTACATGCATAACTTTGATAGCTCACAAGTTAAGTGCGCTGTCATCAGATTCGCTGTGCAAGACTTCAAATCCGCGCCTAAAAAATCTCAATACATTTTTTTTAATCTGGCTATATTTATAGCAAAAAATTAAATATAACAAAAAACCTTTTAATGGCTTTTTTTTCCCTGCCTCCACTGCAATACCATGTGGAGTAGCAGGACGGTTTTATCAAATTTTTTCTTTATTAGGTTTTAGGACCTTTTTTTTAAGACTATCCGTAGCTTATTAGGACCAATTATGTGAGAACAGTATCAAAATCGTGACACACACGCAACAAATTTTCGCCCCGTTTATTGGTGTTTTTAGAAATCCAAAAAATTTATAAAATTTAAAAAGAAAAAACGGTTAAAGTGTATAACATTTAACTTGTTTAACTTCACAAATATTTTGTAATTTAAAGAAAAAAATCGCTGGTGGTAAATTTGAACCACGACTATTACGTTCAGAAGCTTAGCGCGCTAACCACTCGGCCATGCAGACACATCAAATATCGAAATTTTAAAAATATTGAAATTTATATTTAGAGCTTAACATGAAGAAGGTAAATCATTTAGTTCAAGACAACCTGCCCAAACCCAAATCCTCTGTTGATTTATGCACACTCACTGTGGCTAGGCCTGTAAAATAAGTAGCTAGGCAAGTCAAATAAATTAATTTGATCTGTTTTTCTGCATAAAACAAAAACAGAAAATGTGAAGTACTTGATAAAAGGAACTGTAATATTGGATTTAGTTAATTCAATACAAAGTGATAGGAAACTGCAAAATAAGGTAACAACGTGAAAATTATTCAAATACTAATTTACAACAATTTGTATTGCGTTTTATTAAAATAGCTTTATTAAATGGTATGAAGATTGATGATTCTTCTTCTTCGCCTTTAGAAAATGGTTAACGATTTGAAAGACTTTTAAATTGATTATAAAAGCATTATCTAAAAATGAAATAAAATCATTATTGATAACACTGAATGCACATTTATTTGTTTTATGTTAATTCATTTGAGAAATGAAAAATACGAAACAAAATTTAGTAATATTTAATAAATATTAGACACTTACTTTGTGAGAGTGCTTTTTTAAAAGTCTCTAATATTTGGTTGGAAGGCTGGAATAACTCTTTTTTAAAAAAAATTCAGTTTCATCAGCATTGCTAAAGATAAAAATTCTTACTGACACAAAAAAATTAGGCATTTTTTCTTAAAATATTTCTTGGCTTTTAGTGAACGATTAGGAGTAAGTTTCAGTAATGAAGCTACCCAATAATCATTTTTAACGATAGACACCAACGTGAAGGTAAGCCAAGCTGTCTATCAACACAAAACATCACAACAACATTACAGGATGACAAACAATAACACCAGTAGTGTAGGCAGGATTTTTGTTGTTTCAGATATATATTTAAAAGCTGTTGAAGAGTTTAACTTTGTTATGTCTAAAAAAATTCAGGTTAGGAAAAACACTTTTTTTAAACATTTGTTCCTAAGCTTTAAAAACATCAATTTTTTGCAAAGTATTTTAATTCTATAAACGCGAATACACTTAAGTTTGGTTAAAAGTGCTATCTGAAGCATCAAAAGACCCTGCCTATGCTACTGAATACACATAGCATCAAATATTTGTACATAACACATTTGCACATAACACAAAATATTCAGATTATGTGTTTCCAGAATAATTAAAAAAGCTAGACAACACAACCTAGCTCAACACTTGTAACACCGCTTGGCACTAAACGCTGCCAAGTAACACCACAATTTAGTAACACCGCTTGGCATTAAGTGCCAAGTAACACCACTAATTAGTAACACCGCTTGGCTAGCAAGAATCACAATCTTGCACTACACGTTGCCAAGTAACACCACTTTTCACATGGAAACAACTTAATATAAACTTGTATAAACTTAAGCACATAAATATAAATAAAGATATATAAACGCATATAAACACATACATTTATATACACATATAGCAAAAAAAAAAAAAAAAAAAACATACAAAAAATATAAAACACATATAACACATAATATACTTGTCAAAATTATAAATTAAGAACATTTGTAAAGACAACATTATTTGTGTAATGTTTGTTAAATGACATACCTTGTAATGGATGTTTATCAACTTTGAAAAACAAACTATTAAATGATCTTGTTCTTGAACATGCAACATATAATTGGCCGTGTGAAAAGCAAGGTTTTTTGAGATAAACACCAACTTTTTCAAATGTTTGACCTTGACTTTTATTTATGGTCATTGAGTATGCTAACCTAACTGGAAACTGACGGCGTTTAAGTGTAAAAGGTAAATTTGCATCTGATGGAGCTAATTGAACTCGAGGAACAAATACCCTGTTACCAGCTGATACACCTGTTAAAACCTCACCATCAATATAACTGTTGTGTAATGCACGCACCATCAAACGGGTTCCATTACAAAGTCCACCTTTGAGATCTAAATTTCTAAGTAGCATTATAACAGCACCAATTTTTAATTTTAGGCAAATCCATTACTTCTGCTAAACATTAAAAAAAAGTTATAATTAACAAATTGAAATATATATCTTTGTAACATATCTTTCTCATACAAAGTTAGCTTACTTGGCAAGAGCTCTTCGGCTCTGATCTCTTGAACATCTAATATATATATAGACAAAATTAATTTTCAAAATATTTACTTTTTCAATTAAACATATAAGATTTGTCTTAAATTATAAAACTGTTGCACAGTTTTATAATTTAACACATTCAGTAAATGACAAAAAGTTTCATTTTACGTAAAAGTTTAGTAGTTAGAAGACTTAAAAGTCAATTTTAGCTTAAACACGTTTTATAAAATTATAGCTTAAACACCTTAAATAAAGCTTATACGCGTTTTTAAGGTTCACTGCTTTACAAAAACATCAATCAAAATAGCGGAATAAACAAAAACTGAGTTTTGGGTCCACCCTTTTAAAGTTCTAAAAATTAATTATTATATTTTTTAACTTTAGTTAAATTTTAGGGAGGTGTACTTGATTTACGGGGTTAGGGGAGGGCGGCATATCTTGGTTGATTTTAATTAAAAACGGCTAAATTAAATCATCGTTTTATTCACACCGTAAATCAAGTACAGCTCCGCCACTTTTAGAACATATGTAACTGCTACTATATATAGTATATATATATGGCTTACTTCGAAAAAATGCAGAAACTTCTTCGTCGCCTAAAGATATACAAAATTAACTTAATGTAATTTCTTAATAAAATAATAAGCTAAATATCTCAGTATTATTGACGTATCATCTCTTTTTATCTCTTTATATTATACATATAAAATACGTCTTTGTCCTACTCTTCGATACGTATATTCTAATTCTTAAATGCAAATCTATAATACGTATTAATTAGATGATTACAATGCGTTGGTAATAGACGTATAATATACGCATTTAAAATACGTCTCAGATATCTATAATTTTAGTATTAAATGCAAATCTATAATTCGTATTAATTAGATAAATAAAATGCGTTGATAATAGACGTATATAAGACGTATTTAAAATTATTAGGTTTCTATAATTTCTGTATTAAATGCAAATCTGTTTATTTATAGATGTCAAATCTGTAATACATGTTCGCAAAATGAAGAGTAGATTGTTGTATTATCTACCGTTGTATAATTATTGCGGAAATAGATTAATTTCTATCTTCGCAGCCATTGTTTTACCACAAAAATTGTGTTGTACAACCGACGTTAATATGTGCAACTATGCTAGACAACGTTTCCATTATAAAACAAAGTTGTTACAGAACTGTTGTACAACATTTCTACAACTATTGGAAACCAAGCTTAAAAGAACATTAAAACATTTTGAATTGTATAATATTATTGTTTATTTATTTAAAAAAAGTAACTATATGCTATAACATAAACTATATACATATAATATAATATAAATGTTAGATATCAATGGAATGGTTCAATCTTCCTGGTGCATTCTTTAGTTTATTCCCGACAACTCTAAATAATTCTTTTTCACTAACGGTATACCTGTCTTGTAACGCTTCTAAAATAAGTTAAGCAAAAATATTTAAAATTAAAAATATCGTCAGCTTAATATATATATAGTTGAATACGACACTTAAGTGTCGCATTTATCATTTTTGAAAAAAATGACTATGTACAATATAAATTGTATCTCACCAAACATAACGTCCTTTAACTTAAGGTTTTCAAACGATATTTTGTTTTCTCTGCCTTTACGTTTACTCCCTTTAATGTTCATATTCGCCATCAGGTTTACGGAAAATAATCTAAAATCGAAAAAATATTAAAGGTAAGATCTGAAGGTGAGATCTGAATGTTGTTAAATTCATTCTTGTTTACCGCTTATTTTGACTGTTATTGTATAAAAAAATGTAATTTAAAAAAAAGCTGCAACAAATTGTTTTAAAACAAATCAATCGTTATTGTTTCGCAGTGGAAGCTATTAAAGTTCCACCACTTATATGGAACCATCAGGCCGTAATAGTCTTAAGAGAAGCAAGAAATATTTTATATAAGTGCAAGGAAGTGCAAGATAAATTATAATATTTGGACAGATGTCCAGAATTAAGAGTTGTTGTTTAAAAGAAGGGTACTATTCAGTAATTAAGTTTGAGTTAAGTAAGTGGTGGTCATGTTAGATTTAAGTACGTGTTGTTGCAGTGTTCTGTAAGTTATTGTGTTTTGTGTTTGTATTGTTCTAAACGTTAAAGTTTTATGTGTCATTTAGTGTTTTTATTGCTTTGAATCTGTGTGTTCGTAAATAATGGTTCTTAGTCTCGCTCAGTCCAGTCTTATCATGTTCTCTTTACATATCAGGTTCGCAACTAGAATAAGTGAGTATAGTCACTAGTGGAACATATTTAGACGTAAATGCCTTAGACGCATGCAAACGTGCAAAAATACCTTAAAAGCATGCAACCTTATAATAAAAATATTCGTTTTAAATTTAGTTTATATACTCAAAGATCGACAAATACAATAATTCTGTTTATTTACATGCAACCCGAATACCTTCAGCCACAGATAAAAACAAAAGAATATCTAAGTAAACCTATCTGAATTTATCAGATAAATATTCAAAAACATTTAACAAAAATCAAAACAATTATTAACAATTGCTATCGTTGTGGTAAGCATAATGTGATACACAATTAACCTAATATAACACAATTACTCAATTCTTTAGATAAAAAGTACAACTTTAAAGCAGAAGTATTACAACAAACAACAAAAACAAACATTTAATATAAAGTGGAAACGCGCGCATGATTGTTTAAAGAAAGAAAATAAAAATACATCAGCGTTAAAATAAAATTCAAAGTTATGTAGTATAATACCAGATTCTCGTCAGGAAGTGGACATTGTATTGATCCTTATAAAGATAATACTCTGGTATTTGACGTTTCGAATGTTTTAATGCTCATTTCTAGAAACTCCCGTCGGGGTAACATCCTCAAAACAAGCAAATAAAACCCACCTCTACGTCTGTGTCAAAGCCTTCTTATGTTGCAACATTTGAGAGGACATACTACTGCTCAGCCAAATACCCTAACTTGATCCATTTTAAACAAATTACGCTGGTATACTTTTTAGAAAATTATTAAAACACGTTGCGCAAGAAGTAACATTAGAATACAAAAAACTTATAAGTTAAATTATTCCTAAATACTCAAGTACAAATTGAAGGCAAACAAACACACAACAAAATAAAAAACAATTAAGATAAAAGACTTACCATAATTTGATATTGAATAAGAATAAGTCTTGAAGGATATTTTGCGCAATGCCAATGAGCAGTTTATAGAGCGCATGTAAATTGTGATATTATACACAGATGTTGTATGACGTAAATTTGCGGTTAATCAAATTATCCCTCAAGCGAAGCCTCAGTAAATAATAACGCTATTGGTCAAAAAATATCTTAATTGATTGGAGGATGAAAGTGTAAGGTGATTGGTTAATAATGTTGTGTTTAGAGAACATAAAAAATATATAAAATATAAAAAAGAGAGAACATTCAAAAGTGTCCTAAATTATTAAGATAATAAATTTTAACTCAATCAGTTAGGGAAAAGAGTATCGCGGGATCAAAGACATACAATGCAATAAAAGCTCCAATTTGTGTCTTAGATCCACAATGCAAGACAAAATATATTTAAGCGAGTTTTTAAGGTAAATAAATCTAATTGAAAAAGGTGCAATTTTTGTCTTAGATCCACAATGCAAGACAAAATATATTAAAGCGAGTTTTTAAGGTCAATAAATCTAAGTGAAAAAACTGCAAGGTTTCAATTTAAATTTAAATAAACTTGTCTTTAGCGGCTTAAACTAACATTTATTTGTCAAATTGACAAATTGACAAATTGACATTATCAACCGACAACAAACGGAAAAATGGTAAACTCATACAAAAGCCCTGCCTCACCGCGTACACTTGTCCAGGTATGCAAGGTGACAACAACAAAAGCGATTCCCCGCATCAGCCTACGCTGTCGGATTCGTGGTACATCGCTAAGATTAACCAGTGCATCCTCAAGACGCAAACCTATCGGAACAAAGCCCCATTGCTGACCCCCTCATAACGGAACACAATCACACGACACAAAACGCAATACATTTTATCATTACCCACTGCGCATATAGACCCTTGCTCAGGTATGCAGAGCGACAACAACGAAAGCGATCCCCCGCATCAGTCTACGCTGTTGGATTCGTGGTACATCGCTAAGACTAACCAGTGCATCCTCAAGACGCAAACCTATCGGAACAAAGCCCCATTGCCAACCCCCCCATAACGGAACACGATCACACGAGCAGCGACACAAAACGCAATACATTTTATTATGGTCCATAATTATGGTCCATAATTATGGACCATAATTATGGACCATAACCATATTATGGTCCATAATTATGGACCATAATATGGTTAACTAAATCAAAATTACAATAGTAATTTTATTTTAAAATGATATTAAAAAAGTTAACTGGAGAATAGAGTAACAACCAAGAACGTAAAGATGTACAAAAAGCTGTCTATAAATCGAGTCAATAAATAAGAAGCAATAGCTGAATAACAACATTTATTTTTTACAATTAGTATTTATCTTTATTCAAATATATTCGACTAAAGGTCGTCTTCAAAAGACGTTCAGAATACACATTTTTTTCGCATGCCTTTGTGGTCTCAAATAAAAACTTCAAAAAAAAGTATTTAAAACATTTTTTAATGATGACTTTAGTCTTTTAAAGACGTTTTAAACACGTATTATATTTGTTTGCGAAAGATATCTTTCATATATAGAAATAATACGTATTTAATACGTCTCTTAAAGATAAGTTTTATATTCAGCTAAAACTCATCTTGAAAATTTGTTTTTTATGCGTATTTTTATCGTCTACTCTAGAAAAGATGTGAATAATATTAAAATAATACGTATTGAATACGTCTTGTCCTTGCTGGGTACCTTCTGTATCTTGGCTGCTCATTTCTAAAAAATAATCTTAATGTTTATTCTTGGGTCAAAAACATATTAATTTTAAACATATTAACATGGTAATTATAAAATAAGTTTAATTTTTAAAATGAAGATTACAATAATTAAACTTGTAGATACAACTTACTTGTCGTCCCTCGCTTTGCAATTGTTATAATCGATATGAAGACCACATGGCCGAGTTTTATTGGTTTTAGAGTACAGTTGGCGCACATATCATAATACAAAATCAGATGGTTTTGAATCTATTAATTAAACTGGTTTTATTAACGGATTTGGTGGATTTAATTAGATAACCGCAAGATAGTTTTACAGTGGTTTAAGAGTTGGCGTACGTTTCGTAATACAAAAATTATTTAATATTTGTTTATATCTTAATATTCGAGCATTTCTATTAGCGGATTAGGCGAAATTTTGTGGGTTTTCTGTTTGTCACCTTCTGGAGTAACTAAATTTTTTTTTTTTTAGGTTTCAGATTACAATTATTTTTTTCACACCTTTCCGTACTTTTTAGGACTCTTGACCAGTTAGTTTTAATAAAAATTTCAGATTGCATGTAAAACCTTTTTTTTATATATATAAGAAAGAAATTTATCTCTTTAATGTGTGTTGAACTCGCAGTTTTAACTAATTACCTAAATTATAAGTATCTCTTTCATGATATATGCGCAACAAATTTCCAACAGCGTTTTTATGTTTTTAAAAATTTTTAAAAACGTTTTAAAAAATTCTCTTCGTTTGGTTTCTTATAGTATATTATATCTTTATTTTTATGTAATGCGTATAACATCTATATGCATTTAAACTTGTTTTTCTTTGTTTTCTAGAAAACTGGATAGGATTTAAAAAAAAAATTGTGTAAGCAAAAGTTTTTGAACCGAAGCGAAGCACTTCAATCGCTGTGGAATGCTATATCATCTTTTCACACTATTTAATAAACAGAAAACTTATTAAACTTTAAAAAACAACATTTAATGCTTTAAAATAAAGAGATATTGTCGCAATGAAATTATTAAGTAAAAATAAATCGGTAGAATTTGATGTCATCTACTTTATAATTATACTGATTGATAATTAAAGAACTTAAAGTTTACATATTTAGATTTTGAATAGACTTTCGTTCACATTGATAAAATACAAATCATAACGGATTGTGGTTCCGAAAAAAAAGGTTAATACACTACCATCTATAATTATTGGAAAGGTCATATTTTTTAATATCAAAGATATCAAAGTTTGGCGAAAAAGTGAAAACAATGTCTACCTGAATTATATGTTATCTTCCTATTTATTAGGTTTACCAATAAAACTTCCCTGATTAGTTTATAATTTATTCAAAGCCCTGATTAGCTTTTAATTTATTTGCCTATTAATCACCCTTAACAACGGAAGGCTCTCTTGTCAAACCCTTATTCCGACGCTGTCCTTAAGGTCCGAAAATGTAAAAAAACGACTTCTTAATTTAAAAGAGAACCTACCCACCCCAAACCCTCAGTCGTTGTTTACACACTCCGCTGCATGTTCTCTCTAAAAATTAGTTCGTGTATGTGCGCACCGCTGCGCAAATCCCTATATACCCCGTTTTGCCCTTTTCCTAGAAACACTAGTTCGCGGACGCAAAGGACGCTCAACGTCGGAATAGGGGTTTGACAAGAGTGCGTTCCCTTAACAACAATAACCGCCATAAATATATTCTTAGCATTCTACTTAACGACTTATCTAATTAGTCTATTTTGTCACTAAGTATAAAAAAAAAAAAAATACCCATGTATAAACTGAATATCAATTTATTTATCTATTTAATTTAATATATATAACATATAATTTAATATATATAATTTAATCTAATTAATATAATTGAAATACTACTAATCAATTTACTGATATTTTTTCTATAGCATTGTTAAAAATGGTCATATTCTGAAAGGTAAAGAAATTTATTGAAAAGAAAGTTGCACAAAAGAAAAAAAAACTAAATAAAAGTTATTCGTTTCAAAAAACGTTTTACGAAGAGTTTTTCCAAATAATTTTATTTTTAATTGGGTTTTTTTTCGAATTACGTCATAAGCATATTAAGGCGTTTTGAAAAACAGTTGCTGCCATATGTTTATAGTAAAAAAGTTAATGTAGCAAAATAAACTTTTAATTGTCAAAAGAAAGTTTTAATGTTTTATCTAGCTACAGGCTTTTTTTTTTTTTTGCCTCCACAGCAGCATCTTATGAAGTAGCAGGGCTGTCTTGTTAAGTTTTTTCTTTATTAAGTTTCAGACAACTTTTTTTTCAGACCATCCGCAGCTTATTAGGACTAATTACATTCGCACATTAATAACATAAGTGTCTCAATTATCATAGATACGCAACATATTTTTTCTCCTGGTGATTTTTTTTTTTTTTTTTTAATGTTTTATGAAGTTTTAGCATTCTTAAAATCTTTTCTTTTGTGAGTGCATAATATCGTTACGTTAGATATGTTTGTATATAATCTTTATAAAACTTCGAAAGTATTTGTATTTTAAAATAATTAAAAAAATTAAAAAAATAAGCCGCCTTTGGTAGGAGTCGAACCTCTAGTTCCTTGTTCAGAAGTTCGCCGCCTTATCCACTCGAGCTACACTGGCATATCATCAAGTGTAGATTTTATAATAATGTAATTTTTTTGAGGAAAAAAATGTTAGATCAAAATTAAGGAGAGGTTGACGCAATGTAATTTTCAAGTAAAAATCAAACTGTAAAACGTGATAAATGTTTCAGTATGTTTTAACATATGCTTTAACATTACATAAGTTAAAGTTTACGTACGTT